CAGAACAAAAATGAGAAATTGTGAACTATCAGGAAATAAGAAAACAGAAAGGGCAAAAAGGGTAGGTCAATACCATAGGCTTTCCTTTGCCTCTTGAATATTCTAGATTCTTAGAGAGATAAAGCAAAAATTATAACACTGTCTGATATAGAGTTCTAATTGTATATAAAGGAAATATTTATATACCTTTATGTATGTAAAATCTACATATACTTTTACATGAGTATTACCAATGGGAGGATAAAGGGATTTAAAGAAGCGAAGCTCTTACACTTCACCCAACAACTGTTAAAATACCAACAGTACACTGCAATGAGTTATGTATACATAATGTAATTCCTAGAGCTACCACTAAGTAATATCTATACAAAGAAATACACTGAAGAACACTATAGATAAACTAGAATTCTAAAAAATGTTGAAGCATAACCCATAAGGCAGGAAAAAGAAAACAGAGAAACAAAAACAGAAAGCAAAAAATAAAATGGCATTATCAAACATTACGCTGAACATAAACCCTCTAAATACATCAATCAAAAGACAGACAATGGCAGTGGGTAAAAAAACAACCAACCATATGACAATTACCAGAAACTCACTTCAAATATAAGTTACCTGAGAGTGAAAGGATGGAAAATTATATACCATGCAAACATTAATTGAAGGAAAGCAGAGGTGGCTATATTAGTGTCAGATAAAGTAGATTTCAGAGCAGAAAAATTACCAGAGACACACAGGTGAACTACATAATGATAAAAGTGTCAATCCATCAAGAACACACAGGAATCTCAAACGTGTATGCACCAAACAATAGACCCTACAAAATATGTGAAACAAAAATTGATAAAACGCTAAAAAGAGGCAGGGTGCACTGGCTCATGCTTGTAATCCCAGCGCTTTGGAAGGCCAATAGAAGGCGATCACTGAGCCCAGGAGTTCAAGTCCAGTGGAACCCCATCTCTACAAAAAAAAATTTTTTAAATCAGTTGGGCATGTTGGCGTGTGCCTATAATCCCAGCTACTCTGGAGGCTGAAGCAGGAGGATGGCTTGAGCCCAAAAGGTTGAGGCTGAATTGAGCCATGATCATGCCACTGCACTCTAGCCTGGGTAACAGACTGAGACCATGTCAAAAAAAAGAAAAAAGAACAAAAGAGAATAAACAAAGCTACAAGGAAAGACGAACTCAACAGGACCATTAACTAAAAGGAAATAAATAACATTTCAGAACACTCCACCTAACAATAGCAAAATAAATGTTCTTTTCAAGAGCCAAAGAATACTTACCAACATACAGGTAGAGTCACAATATCTTACTGTATGCCTTGTAAAAGCACCACTTAACTTTTTAAACTATGTGTATGTTACCACGATAAAATAAAACCCAACTTCAGAAAATAATGTAGAAGCACAACTTCTGGTCCAGACAAAATGCCATAGACCCATTTCTCTGCTTCTCCCCAGTAAGTCCAACTATAAACCCTGGTAATTAAGCAAAAGCCAATCAAAGGAGAGTTCTGAAAGAAGGTAAGAAGGCAGCAGTGACTTACTGAGACTCCCCTCTCCCACCAAGGGATATTGGGGCCTGAGACTCCCCTCTCCCATCAAAGGATACTGGGGCATTTGGGCAGAAGCAGTAAGGGGAACTTGTCACTACAAGCTGCTGGCCCAAGAAGGCTCTGTGCCTCTCATGCCTGAGACTCCTCTCTCTCATTAGGGAGAGCCAGGCAGCACCAACAGGTGCAACCCCACCACATAAGGAGCCCGGTCCAGAAAAACCTTTTTATCCATAACCTAAGATCTTGCTCCAAGACATCAGAGCATCAAGGTGTCACCAGCAAGAGGGATTCTGCCACAGGAACCCTTTTGCCACAGCGGTGCTAAGACTCCTCTTCTCCAACCCAGAGACACCAGGGCAGTCACTGGGTCCATATGGATGGGATACAGCCACAGCCAGGGCCCAACCACAGAAGCCTCTTCATCCCCATGGGTCTGACACTTTCATCTTTTAACAAGAGAAACCAGGCCTAGGAAAATCCACCTTTCGCTCTCACGCAGCACCAACAGAGACCAGGAAGAGCCCCAGTGATACCACATAAACCAAGCAGACCAAAGATCACAGCACAAAGGCTCTGAAAATTAAAATGTCATTTAGAACCACAGGCCACAAATGTAGTCCAGGACCTATGTGCTGAATCTAAACAGGGTGGCTGCACGCTAAAATAAAAGATATAAATAGAACCCAAATTCTCCTAATATACAAAATACCCAAGAGACAATCGAAAACCATCTGTCAAACCAAGAGCCAAAACATTCACAGAATGGAGTGGAGATAAGAGTAAAGAATTAGGGAACTTGAGAACAGATTAATAGAACGTACACAATCCGAACAACACAGAGAAAAGAAACAGGGAAAAAGCCTAAGGGAATTATGAAACACCAACATAAGATCCAACTTTCTTAACACTGGAAATCCAAATGGAGAGAAGAGAGTGGGAGCAACTCTCCATTATTTCAACAACAACAAAGAGTAGTTGAAGAAATAATGGCTAAAAACTTCCTAAATTTAGTCGAAGACCAAAAGCAAACAAACAAACAAAAAACCAAACATAAAATCCATGACAAGACACATCATAATTAAACTTCTGAAAACTAGACAAAGTAAAAACTTGAAAGCAGCCAGAGAGAAATGACACATTATCTACAAGGGAACATCAATCTGAGTGACAGCAGCATCCTAATCAGAAAATACGGACGCAAGAAGGAAGAGGCACAAGATTTTTCAAGTGCTAAGAAAAGAATGGCAGGCTAGCAGCCATGGCTCACGCCTTAATCGTAACACTCTGGGAGGACGATACAGGAGGATCACTTGAAACCAGCTGGGCAATATAGCAAGATCCTGTCTCTTAAAAAAAATTTTTTTTTAATTAGCCAGGCATGGTGGTATGTGCCTGTAGTCCCAGCTACATGGGTGGATTGCCTGGGCCCAACAGGTCAAGGCTGTAATGAGCTATGATCGCATCACTAACTCTAGCCAGGACAAAAGAGCAAGATTCTGTCAAAAAAAAAAAAAAAAAAAAAAAAAGGAAGAACAATAGAAAAAGGGGAAATATGGGCACGTGGTATGTGCAATACACTATCCTTATCATCATGAGTTTTACAAACCATATTTGATGACTGACACAAAAACTGTGTCAACCACCTGTAACACCATCTGATACCCAGGACATGATATTTAAAGTGAGGACCTAACTGAAAGAAGGGTTTCCACACTTGACTGGAAGTGGTGAAATACAGCAATACACCATGGTGATAAGTCACATATGTATACTGTAATACCCAGATCAAGCACTGTGAAAACTATACAAACACCTAATCTCAAACACACTATACGGATACCAAAAGTGTCCAAGTAACCCAAAAAGTGGCAAAAACAAAAAAAAGAAACAGTAATGAGAATCAGAAGAAACAGAACACAGATAATACATAGCACACTTATATTCTAACATATCAATAATTATTGTAACTGTAAATGGTGTAAATATGCCAATCAAAAGAGAATGGCATAGTCAATAAAAAATAGGATCATAAGATCCAACAAGAAACTCACTTCAAATTCAACATAGGTAAGTTGAAAGCTAATATCATGCAAACATTAATCCAAAAAAAGCATAAATGGCGACATCAATATCTAACAAAGAAGATTTTAGAGCAAAGAAAATTACCAGAGACAGAGGAACATTAACCATGAAAGGAACAATCCACCGAGAAGACAAAATTCTTGAATGTGTGTGCACCACATGACAGTGCTTCAAAGTACATGAGGCAAAAATGGATTCAATCTGTGACGGAAACCTATTTTGAAACAGGTGGCACATTTCCAAATAATGAACTCCTAAAATTAAACAGATTTACTAATACAGTTACTGCTATAGGTAACACCAAGTAGGAAAGGAGAAATGGTAGTTCCAGAGAACCCACTTTCAACCAAGCACTGAAAAAAGGGCACCTTACACAGGTTCTACTGTAATCTCTAATAATCCCGTAAGAAAAAATATTATCCAGCACTTTACAGATGAAGAAACCATGGCTTTGAGTTTAAGTTACCCAAGAGCAAACAGCTAGTGGGAAAATCAACACACAAATCAGCGTTATAACATTCCGATACGTACTCTGAGCTGTATGTTACAGTCTCTCAAATGGCCGAAACCAAAAATTGTTCAAAAACTCAAATTCTGAAGCAACTACATATTGAGTGAAATTATGTTTTCTACAATTCCTCTGGAATAAAACTTCAAAAACTGTAAGAAGCAATACTTATTTTTTAAAATTTTCTTCTTTTCTTTGAAGGAGAAATAAGTTAAATATGAGTTAAATCCAATCTCGGGTATGAAAGGTCTGTACACTAATTCTACCGCTAACCTGTGGCCCCACTAAACAAGTCAACCGTTCTCAATACTCCATTTCCCTTTCCTAAAGGCAAAACTACATGTCGACAAAAAGCACTTTGTATATATGTGTTTAAGTAAAAAGTGTGCTTAGCAAAGATACCGAAATGTCGAACAGAAGTCATTTCAATAAGGAGTGTGTTTTTAACAATATAATTAAAATTGCATCTGTCACCTTCACAATTCATACGGCTACACAAACAAGTTTCGGAGACTCTGAATTATCCCATAAATTAGGACTTTTGATCCCCGTTTACTTTAGGAGAGCAGCCACCCCTCAACACCGGACCGCGGTTCTCCGCTCCCGTTCTGGCTCCTGCGCTCGGCTCGGGCGTCCCGGGATGCAGACGCTCGCTCCGGCAGTTGCCCGCGGCCCTCACCACAGCGGACGCCACAGCTGCGGCGCGCCCAGAACGCCCAAGACTCCGGACTCCCGGCGCACAGATGGGGCGCGCCGGTAGGACCCCAGACCCGCCCGGCTCCGGGTTCCTGCGGTGGACTGGAGCCCCCGGGGCGCGTCTGCGGCGGACGCGCGCCGGTCCCGCCTCGGTTACCTGCTGTGCCGGTCGGCTCCCGGCCCGGGCCCCGCGGCGCTGTAGTAGACCGCGCGTTTGCGGTTGGCTGCGGCCGCCGCGGCGCTACGCACCGGGTAGAGCGGGATTTGGTCCGCCATGTTCCGGCCGCCCTTTCCCGCCCCTCCCGCTTTCCCCTCAATTCGCCACCTTTTCCCCGCCCTCTCCCCTCAGCGCCAACCCCGGCTGAGGCACCGCCCGCGGACCTTCCCCGCCTCCGCCAAGCGGCGAGGTCCGATGACGTCAAGAGCGGCGGCGACGCGACGCGGAAGGCGTGGCTCGCTAGGCCCGCCCTCCTTTGGGCGTCGGCGCACGATGTCGTTCGCCAGGTGGCAAAAAGGCGGCGCGGGAGTCAGTGGAGTCCGGACGATGACGTCACGAGCGGCGAAGACTGGGGCGGTGTCGCCGCGTTCTGAGGCCCCGCCCCCGCCGCGTGAGGGCCCGAGACGTCACCAATCGGCGGGGCGGGGCTTGCGTACGCCGCGGGCTGGTCTTCTGGTAGCGCGGGAGGCCCCGCACATGGATCAAGGTTCGGCCGGGCGCGCTCTGGTCCGCGGGGGGAAGGACCTCGCAGCCGTCTCCTGGAAGTTCTGCCGGGCACATGCGTGGGCGCGCGCGGCCTCCTGAGCGGTCCCGAGCCTGCGCTGCTGGGAGTAGTACGCTTCTTGCTGCCGCCCCGCGCTTCTCCAGCCTGCCTTCGGTGCCCGCTTCATGCCCGTGCCCTTGGAACCGCTGGTGTCTGTGCGTTCACAGGCAGGGTCGTGCTCCGTGGCCCTGGTCCCTAAAGCGGCGCGACCCCAGGCGCGCCCACCGCGCTGGGCTGAATTTCCGAGATGTTCTTGTCCTGCTTCGTCACTGCCGCTTTCCTCCTTTCCTCTGGCTCTTGGTCTTTAGCTTGGGTCCACATCCGCAACCTCTAGGCCCGCGGCCTGCTGAAAAGTCCTGTAGGCGACTGTCAGAAACGAGGTTTACACCCTCAATCTACACAAGAAAGAAAAACGATATTGAATGAACGAATATACACCTTTGGTTGGGTTTGTTTCATTTCCTGTCCCGAGGACAGCCCCCTTCCACCTCCATCACCCACTGCCCCTGGAAGCCCGCAAGCTGAACACCGCTCACCTCGCCTATTTCTGGTTTATTCACTTTGTGTTTTTTTAACCAATGTTTTTCTGCTATTCCATTATCATGACATACACATTTTGTCTGTGTGTTTGAAACACTGTTCAACATGAACTTATAAATGCTTTTCTGTTTTTTGGAGATGGGGTCTCCGTCACCCAGGCAAGAGTGCAATGTTTTGATCACGGCTCACTACAGCTTCCACCTCTCAAGGTTCAGGTGATCCTCCCCCATCTGCGTGTACTACTTTTTCTGCACTCCAGCCTGGGCGACAGAGCCAGACTCCGTCTCAAAAAAAAAAAAAGGTCATTATGAATATTAATTTTTTTGGGGGGGACAGTCTCGCTGTCGCCCAGGCTGGAGTGCAGTGGCGCGATCTCAGCTCACTGCAAGCTCCGGGTTGACGCCATTCTCCTGCCTCAGCCTCCCGAGTAGCTTGGACTACAGGCGCCACGCCTGGCTAGCTTTTGTATTTTTAGTAGAGACGGGGTTTCACCGTGTTAGTCAGGATGGTCTCCATCTCCTGGCCTCGTGATCCACCCGCCTTGGCCTCCCAAAGTGATGGGATTACAGGCTTGAGCCACCGCGCCCCGCCTGTGAATATGAATATTCTTAATTTGTTGCTGCCACTTTCTGATTGCCAGTTTGCTTCTCAGCTGCTTTTCATGTAGCTTGAATACACGCCACTCCACAGACACTAACTACTTTCAAAAGACACCAGTGGCCTCCCAATTGACAAGGGACTTCACGCATTATTTCTCTACCTCACCCTCAGCCACTGACACTGTTCACACCATCTCTCACCTACATTCAACAACTGATGTTGATAACACCAGCTCATTCTCACAGCACTGGCACTGTAACACCATCTCCTCACCCTCAACACCTGACAGTGACAACAGCATCTCCTCACCCTCAGCAACTGACAGTGACACCATCTCCTCCCCCTCACTCAACACCTGACAGTGACAACAGCATCTCCTCACCCTCAGCAACTGACAGTGACACCATCTCCTCCCCCTCACTCAACACCTGACAGTGACAACAGCATCTCTTCACCCTCAGCAACTGACAGTGACACCATCTCCTCCCCCTCACTCAACACCTGACAGTGAATAGCATCTCCTTACCCTCACTCAACAACTGACCGTGACACCACCATCTCCTCAGCCTCACTTAGCAACTGACAGTGACATCATCATCTACACCCTCACTTAACAACTGACAGACCATCTCCTCACCCTCACTCAACACCTGACAGTGACAACAGCATCTCTTCACCCTCACTCAACTACTGACAGTGACAACACCATCTCCTCACCATCACTCATCACCTGACAATGACACCATCTCCTCACCCTCAACACCTGACAGTGACAACAGCATCTCCTCACCCTCAACTACTGACAGTGACAACACCATCTCCTAACACTCACTCAGCAACTGACAGTGACAACACCATCTCCTAACACTCAACAACTGACAGTGATAACAGCATCTCCTCACCCCCACTAATCACTGACACTGTTCATATCCTCTCCTCACCCACAGTTAATAACTCACACTGATAACACCATCTCCTCACCCTCACTCAATTGAATGGACTCACGGTTCCACATGGCTGGGGAGCTCTCACAATCACGGCAGAAGGCAAGAGAGAGAATGAGAACCAAGCAAAAGGCGTTTCTCCTTATAAAACCATGAGATCTCGTGAGACTTATTCACTACCACGAGAACAGTATGGGGGAAACTGCCCCCTTGATTCAATTATCTCCCACTGGGTCCCTCGTACAACACTTGGGAATTATGGGAGCTACAATTCAAGATGAGATTTGGGTGGGGACACAGCCAAACCATAACACGCAACCACAGGCAGTTTTCACACCAACTCCTTGTAAATTTTTTCCTCCCTTAATGCGCAGACTAAATTAACTAGCTCTCTTCCTTTACCTATTCCATCTCTCTTGAAAACTCCTCCTTCATCACCTACCCACTTAGGTAAATAATACTCATTTCTTTTTTCCTAATTCTAACCTCTCCTGGCTCCATTTCTGAATTGCTTATTCAGTTTCAATTGCATGCAAAAGTTAACGATGGGGTTTATGGGGAATATCAGTATGACTAAGGCATACTGTCTGTCCTCTAGGAAGCTTAGTAGGAGAGGGAGACACATAGGGAAACAGCTTGTTTTTACTTAGGACACAATGAAATACTTGCCATAAGTTCACAAGTATGAAGTTATACCAGTGGGTATCTTTTTTTTTTGAGACAGAGTCTCGCTCTGTCGCCCAGGCTGGAGTGCGGTGGTGCAGTCTCGGCTCACTGCAACCTCTGCCTCCCAGGTTCAAGCTATTCTCCTGCCTCAGCCTCCCAAGTAGCTGGGATTACAGGCACCCACCACCACGCCTGGCTAATTTTTGTATTTTTAGTAGAGACGTAATTTCACCATGATGGCCAGCCTGGTCTTGAACTCCTGACCTCAAGTGATCCACCTGCCTCGGCCTCCCATAGTCTTGGGATTACAGATGTGAGCCACCGCACCCATCCCCCAGTGGGTATCTTGACAGGAAAAAGATGACATACTTAAAGCGTTAAACTGAAGAGAGTTTAAGGAGCTGTTTGCAGAGGTATAGATGGAAATAAGAAAGCCAAATATTTTTGACAAATTAACTGGGAGAAGCAATAGTGGAAAACTGGTTTCACCCTTAGACCAAAGAGATTAGATAAGGAAAAGTGTTGACCCTGAATAGAATCCCTCCTGAGTTGGAGCCCTGGGAGCAAAGCTACCTCAAAGAGCATGAGGCTACGGAGTAGATGCAGGCCAGCTGGTGGGCAAAAGCCACCTGCCACCCACTTTGTAAATTAAGTGCTTTTGAAACACAACCACACTGATCTGTTGACTTATTACTTATGGCTGCTCTCAAGCTATGATGGTAGAGTTAAGAAGATGCTACAGAGACCATATCACCTGCAAAGCCTGAAATATTTACCATCTGGCCCTTTAGAGAGAATGTTTGTGCATCCCTGTTCTACAGGAAAGAGCGGGTGGCGTAAGAGGCAGAGACAAGCACAGAATGGCGCTCTCACGGCAGAAGGCTGCGTTGGTCAATGCCACCCTAGCGCAACCATGAAAAGAATAACAACAGAATGTTTAGCTAACAAGTTAATGGAGGGAGGAAGAGGGATAATAAAAATACTTTATTGCTTCAAGGAAGCCGTGAAAGGAGTTTAAAGAAAAAAGAATTGATGGAATAAGCGGGAAACAAAGAAGATGGTAGAGACAAACCTGAAGGTCAGTTTATGTATATTCAATGTAAACAGACTAAATACCTCAGTAAAAAGTCAGATTGTCAGATTGCATTAAAAATAAAACCCGGGCGTGGTGGCTTACGCCTGTAATCCCAGCACTTTGGGAGGCTGAGGCAGGCAGATGACTAGAGGCTGGGAATTTGAGACCAGCCTGGGCAACATGGCGAAACTCCATCTCTAATTGAAACAAAAACAAAAAGAGAAAAGAAAAAAAAAAAAGAAAAGAAAGAAAACTATATGCTTGAGGTCTCAGATCTCATCTTAAATAGAAAGACCCAGAAAAGTTGAAAGTAAAAGCATAGAAAAATATACGCCGCGCGACCACTGATTACCGTAGCCTCCCCATGAGGTAAGCTCTGTGAGTCTCCTTCACCTTTCCCCAGATAAGGAGCCTGGAGCACAGAGGGCTTAGGCAATCTGCCCGAAGTCACAGCTGCAGAGCCAGGTTTCAACCCAGGTGCCAAAAGCCATACCCTTAACCTCTAACCTCAAGTTGCCCCCTGAGTTTCAGGAAGATGATACTGATGGCTAGAATTTGAAAGTAAGGCAAAAAGGAGAAATGAATGTCATTTCATGTCATACAAAGGGACAGTCTGACCCAAAGATGAGTGGAACGTACTTTGTTCAACTCACTGCTAACTAGTTGATGAAAGTCTTTGACTTAGTGAAATCGCATGTTAACTTAAAGATGTTTGCCAATAGAGGTACAAATAGTTTCTGTTTTGTGGTGTATTAACTACATTTTATTTTCTACATTCTTTTTTTTTTTTTTTTTTTTTTTTTTTTTTGAGACGGAGTCT